TTTCAATTCAAATCAATTCAAAACAGCACTCGTCTTAACCCTCTCCCCATAAACCCCCAACTCCCAAGAAATAATAATAAAAACTCATTTGCCTATCAGTATTTATCTCTCCGTCCCTATTACTGTATTAGCCAAATATTTATAGTATTGCTAAGTATAATATGTGTAGTAATAAGGAAACACCACTACACTCATCCCCCACCATTAACCTCTCTCCTCCCCCAACGTAATTAACATCACGAATACAAAAGGCGGAGAAAGTTTGAATAATATTTGGTAAAAACAGTATTATGACAATAGTATTACAATCTTTCTTTGTTTAGTTCCTTCGTTTTATTATCCCTGAAGATCGTAGCAACTTGAAGTTACGTAAATCCTGAGGAGTGAGTATAAGTCTAATGGCGCACGTCATAATCAATCACGTACTGATCAAAGTCTTTCTCTGCACTCTAAAAATCGCCACACAGATTCTTCATCATCTAAATCATTGATTAATTGATGCCAGCAACAGTTCAGTTTCACTATAAGACTGAGTTATGGGCTCACTTTCACAAGCATTTGCTGTCAGGCTCACTTTCATCACTATCAAGGTCAATGCATGTCTCGTCACTGTCCACTTCTACCTCCTCACAGTCTATGTTCTTGTTGTAATACATTAGTGTCACTGTTTGTGTTACCATTAGATGCACTTTCACCGTTTCCATCGTCATTATTGCCATCAGTGCATTCACGTAACTCTTGTACCGGATCACAGTCTGCAAAAGGTCTTGTGATGCATGTCAGGGCTGTAACGAGCAGGATGGTTGCCCGCCGCTGCTTTGCGGCCCCCACTTGGGGGTAGACGGAGGTGAGAAGGTCCGTACTGCCTCGTGACACATCAGACACTACCAGTTGTCAACACAGCTGTGTTTGCACCCGCTGTTCATTCAAATTCTGGTTGTGTACTCATCTGAGGTCCTGGACCGTGGGCTGATTCCCCAGACCTTCACTATTTGGCTGTCAATCTCCGGACACCTGCTCCAGCACCGTCGGCTGCTACGCCATCACCTTCCTCCACGCCTCCACCGTCCCGTGCCCTGGCGCTTCTCCCAGTAGCAAGACATCGCCTCACAGCCAAGAGGAAGCTGCTTAACCTTCCCCGCCACCCCAAGAGCGATCACTGCTTTATCGAACCATCCAACGGGCCACCGCCGTATGAAATATTTCTGTTCATTGTTTGATTCTAATTGGTTGACTCCCTTTAATTGTGGACTCCATTAATTGCTTGACTCCTTAATTGTTGACTCCTTTAATTGTTTGACTCTAATTGTTATTTGATATTTGTGTGAGTGGTGTCAGAGTTTTGTGTTATTTTCATAGTTAGAGATGTCAATCTCGAACGGTTGTTTGTTATCCCTCAGAAACCCATGGTTCTTGACTTTCCTTTATAAGATCCTGATTAGGCTGGCAAGGATTCATATCCCTAAGTCCCAGGCCTTACAATGCAATAACAATCACTTTTTGTATTATAAGTATACTCAGTTTCATCAACTTCAAGCTCACTTTCACCATTATTAATCATTACCATCATCAATGCATGTCACATTGTTTTTAACTCGCCATAGTCAGCAAAAAGATCTTTGATGCTTTGTAGCACGCTAAAAAGTGTTCAAAGTGTTATTGTCATTATGATAATCACCTCATCATGCTGTGAGTCACTTTCATTGTCGACAGGTAAATCATCATAGTCTCTAAAACGATCTTCCAATGGTTCATAACGTGATCTATGGATTTTTCTGCAATCATGCACGTTACCTGCACCATTGCCAGATTCACTTGTATCACCATAATCAACACTAAATTCACCGCCAAAATCACTATCACCACATTACTGGGGTGTCCACATGAACACTGGCATCAAACACAAGCTCAGGAATAATGGGCTCCTGAACCCACAGCAGAAGGCCTGGCCTCACTCGAGTCTTGCTCTAATATCGGGCAGATATTGCAAAGCACTTCTCACACCGGGAACACAAATAACGTGAATGCTATGCCGAAGTTATCAAAATAGCAGTAGAACAAACACTGAACCTCCTGATGCTAAAATACAAGCCAAAACTAAAGGCGGAGGCAGCATCTGGACCCATGAGAATGGCGAGGAGCTGACATAGCAGAAATCCATTGTGATTGGCTGCCTCGGGGTATGATCGAGGCTGTCATTGGCCTCCTCTCGCTCTGAATGGGATGTTGTCACTTTCTGGAACTGGCAGCCAGATCGTAGCTCAGGCCGGGTGAAATCACACCTTATTTTTGAAGGACTTTTAACCATATATCTTTTCTAGCTAGAGGTTACATCCAACCCAACATGTAGGAAGGGTGAAAATAGTGATATCCTTCAAAAAACGCATTTTGGCGGGTTTAGCTTCACCCCTTCCAACACTGGAGCCTCAAATAAAAGACGGTAAATTTGGCAGTGGCTAAACACCACCACCTACTCTCCTCAGTAAGAAATGTGGGTGAAAAAAATTGCCTTATTATTCGACTTGTCATGTAATTTTGATGTCAAATTAATAATTATACATTGTATTTTTTCGAGTGTGTTTAATATTTATATTAACCAAGATAAAAAATACACCATAAGAGGCTGATCATACGAGAATACAGTATATAATAATAAATGTTGGAGAGTGTGTGTTGGTGTGTGTATCCTCCCCCCTGCCTCCTGCCAGCTTGCCTCCTGCCAGCACCTTGCCTCCTGCCAGCACCTTGCCTCCCCTGCCAGCACCTTGCCTCCCCTGCCAGCACCCTGCCTCCCCCTGCCAGCACCTTGCCTCCCCCTGCCCCTCCAACTTGCAGTGCCTCACGAGATTTCATGAATGTGGTGTTGGGGTATTAATTAATGAATAATAAACAATATAGTATTAATGACAGTACTGTACAGTAGTCTGATGAATAGTAGTGACAATTGTAGTACGCTGCTATTCTTCAAACGACTGTCACTGATATGCAATATTGCTTATTCATTAATTAATACCACTATCCACCTAAACTCCCATATTGTATGACATAAATTTATCGTGGTTAACTACGTGGTGAATTGAAAGATCAGCTTTTTGAAGCTTGGTAGCAACACTGGTGCATGTTATCACTCATTTTCCACCCCATCTCTCTAATCACCCACACCTTTCAGCTTTCTCCTCCATTTTAAATCTTATGTAACGTAATGTTGAAGGGATACAATGTGATAAGTGTAAGCATACAAAATACTGTACAGTACTTTAGCTTTCATGTTTATTCAAGACATCTTCAGGTCCTGAAACCTACAATCCCCCAACAGTGGGTGACCTGACATTGTATCAGGTCAGTAATATGAGACCACCAATACCCCACCCTACCTCCACCTGACATTGTATCAGGTCAGGTCAGTTACATGAGATCCGCTAATCCCCCACAGCAAAAAGTGGAAAATACCAGTCTTTGTTCTAACACACTTCATTCACAACCATATGATATAGATTTTTAGTTTAGATTCTTGGACTCCCCAGCACACAGAAACATTATGAGGATGTGGGCTAGTGTTTGTCTGTGCAAGATGCATAGTTTAGACACTTGGAAAGTTTTTCCAGTAAGAAATATTTCCATGGATGGGGATTTTCGGATTTGAAAGTCGTCTGGTTACCGAAATCTCTCATCGAAATGCTCTTCACCAATTGTTTCCGGCTAATGGGGATATCACTGTATAACCTTTTCCTTTTCTATTTTTAATTTCTTTCCATTCTTATTTTTTTCGCCCTCAGGTCCGTTGTGGGTCGTTGACCTGTGCCTGAGTGGGCTATTCCCATCAAAAAATAAAAAAAAAAATCTCCGTTAGCCGGAACAATTGGTGCAAAACACATCTGGGAATAAGAGATTTCCAGGTAGCAGACAACTCTCTCAAGTCAGAAAAAGATCCTCATCCCCGAATTTTCCGCCTGTCGGAAAATTTTCTCAGAATTTTCGAAAATTTGCCCTCGGAAAATCATTCCCAAAGCTGGAATTTTCTGGAAAATTCTGGCTTTGAGGAACGATTCCGAAAAAATTTCAATTCTGGCTATCGGAGGTCCGGGTTTGAGGATTCGATTGTGAAATATTACTGTAAATGCAACAACTCCAAGCACCTGAGTTTTGACTGTACAAATGAGGCATATCACTGGTGGGGATACATCCTAAAATCTGTGAACCACAAATAGGTTGCAAGTCGCCATAATTGGATAACAGAAGCTGGGAGTGTGTATGTTTCTGCCACTGTAAACCATGTCTGTCAATATCAGTCCCAGTATGTTGGTGAAGAATGACAGAAGCACATACCTGTACAACAGCTCTTATGTCCTTGGTGGAGGCAACTGCTGCTACGACTCTGGAGACATGTCGTAGGGCAAAGACTTCTCTTCAACTCCTCCACTCACTACCTGTAATGTGCTTAGCACCAATCCTATCATGCCTGCAACCACCACCACACTAACCTGATGAAAAGAAAATACAGAAAATAAGAATCGTTTCTGAATCCCATTTTATGACAGAGTTGAAAAAAGACTCATGGAAACCTACATCAAGACAACTGGGCTACTTGATTACATCAGACAGCAAAGTTCCCACTAATTTTTTACATTACAGTGCAAAATAAATTCTGTTACATGCATTAACATAAAAGCAATGTGTAGATGTGCACCACCAGTAGAAGCAAATAAGCTAAATAAAACATATTTGTTTTAAAGTTATTGCAGGTATGTGAGAAGTAGAACATAAAAATAAAAGTACATGTACTATAGATAACCAGGTTGTGTTGCATAATGTGTTTATTTAAAATAGAAGAGATGTTGCCAATGATGATGATATCCACAGCTGGGAAAATTAAGTGCATGGTACTGGGCGGAGCAGCTGTTATTGGGCGTAGGAATACTGTAACCAACCCATAACAACCAGAGCCTCTAAAAATAAGTTTTGAAGCCAAGGTTATTGCTGAAGGGCAGAGAATATGGGTTCAGTAAGTTTTTGGGAAAGGATGTCCTGCTGACATGGGATGCCTGATTATGTGGAGCAACAGGTATAAACTAAATTTATGGCCTTGTTGAGAGAGAGAGAGAGAGAGAGAGAGAGAGAGAGAGAGAGAGAGAGACAGACAGACACAGAGAGAGAGGACAGAACAGAGACAGAGAGAGAGAGAATATGGTTGCTCCTACCTTACAGGCAACAATTTATGGAGTGGAATAGTTTAGTTGTGTTACTATCTCAAATAAATTCCTCACTATACCATACCTTTACTGCTTGACTGTATGGACCGATAGCTGGCCAGTGAGATATGCCCTGAGCGTGCATTGTTGTGCGAGATGTGGGGTGTAATTGGTCATTTTCTTCATCCGTGGTCACGTGACTTCGTTTCCAACTGGACACATCAATTGTAATCGAATATCACTTGGAAGAGGCACCTAAATAAAAACCAAATAAAATTTGAAATATTTTATAATTATGCACAAACAACTGCAATTTATCTGAAGTAACACAAACCAACTGAGTTTGTATATGTGGAGGCAAACCATGTACTAGTAGGTAGTAGGCAGCTACCAAACAGGGAGGTACTACATCCTGGGAAGATATTGGAAGCATAATGTATTGTCTAATGGTAGACCCTGCTGCCATATGGCATCACGAAAATTGTGACCGAGTCCCAGGTTGCTGATCTGACTTTCTGCCTCATTTACACACAATTGCAGGGTCTCAATTGTTTCTCTTACTGTTGACAACACAACATACATACTCCGTATATCATTTCTCACTATTATATTTTTTATTTTTTTTATTTATTTATGGCTTTTTAATATTACTATTATTATTATTATAATTATTATTATAATTTATATTAAATGTTAATATTTTATAATTATTATTATTTAGTATATTTCATCCCAGGCCTTGATGTGGATCATAAAATGACCTGTGCCTGGGTGGGCTAATGCCCAAAAAAAAAATGTAGCCACGGAAGAAAAATCTAACCTAACCTAGAGAAATGAGACCAGTAATAAAAACACTGGAGGCATAGCCAGAAATAAATGATACACATTTACATGTTCAACTACGGTATTAATTTCCAAAACTAGATTGGTGATATTTCAGAGGTGCAATGGAGGTGTTAATGACAGAATTCACTTTTGGTCTACCTACCTCAACACAAACTCTAAGGAGTTGACAGAGAATGTTTGATGTACTGAGCATTGAGCAGGCTATAATCATCTATATCTTGTACATACATCTTCACACAAACTAAGTCATGTAATTCCATTTCTTCGCCAAGCAAACATTCTGAAAAAGAAAAGCTGGTATTAGTTGTCAATATAAGCACTATAGTAACACACTGCTTTGCCAGACTCATTATTGCAGTGAATGATCTGCAGAGCTATGATTACCAAATCCCTTCTCTTCCTCCTCCGTAATGTCTAGCATTAAATGCTACATATTTGGGTTATCGTCGGTTGAAATAATGTACTAAATGCCACTGTTTGTATTCCTTCACTGTCCATGTATATGTTATAACATTGAGAACTTGCGTGATGACTTTTACCAACTTAATGTCTATTTATCAATTTCTCATAATTAAACTATATGTGAGACACTGCCTACAACAGGTGGAAAAATGGGACACTTGTCCATTTTGGCCTTCAACCATCACCACCACTATACCCCCAAAGGGTTCTGGGCTCAGTAGGTAAGAGAAGTAATGTTTCAGATCAAGCTGTGTCTCTGGACAATGTACTGATGTGCAGCCTTACCAAGTTCTTATGCCTTCACCAGCTCTGACTATACTTCTCCCTTTATCAGAAAAGGAAAAGTTCAAACATTTGTCCTATAGAAAATGACACATCATTCATATTAGGGGTTATAGAAAAGGTGGGTTATTTTTTATTAACACTTAGTGTCCTAGTGGTCTAACTACATGATCAACTCACACTGGCTGACTCTGCACACCTGAGTGATGTTCTCATATTTCTTCCATCATTTTTTTAAATACTGTATCTAAATTATTATAACTTCATGAGTTAGATAGGATACTGAAAAGATATGTAGAGAAAAAATTTACAGAAAAAAATTCAGAGAATATAAATGGAATATATAAGTTCTGTGCCAGCAGGCTCTCTGCATGACTGTCAACACACAGACACACATGAAAGAAAGTGTTAATATAATATCATGTGTCCTGCCATTGAATAATTCTACCCAATGACACCTAATGGGCTTTTTCATGTGGTGTTCAGTAAGCTGTGATCTAAAGATAACTCACCTTTAAGTCTAGTGATAACTTCATCTGCAGTATTACCGGAAAACTAAAAGTAGCCCAGAGAAGTGCGGACAACACCACAATGCAGGTCATCCACTTCAGGAAGAGTTTGTGGTCGCATGAAAGGGCTCATACCTGTAGAAGTTAAATCAAACTATGGTTTATGTGGATAAATAAGCAATGGGTATTGTTCAAAATGAGAGATCTTAATTTTAAATACAGTTCAAAGATGAAGATGATATAAAAGTTCAAATATTTGGTAATGCAGTCAATAAAGATACCACGAAACTGGAACTCACTTCTTACACTTTATTCCTTAAAAAATCCACAATACCTGTTGCAGGATCTACATTACAATATTCACCTACAGTACTACACACCTGGTTATAGAAGCATCATTGTCTTCTATATAGATTCCTTGGCCTGGTCCTCTGCCTGCTGTTCTTCCTCTGCCAAGTTTAGGTCACTCAGGAACTCTTCTGGGTCCACGAATACCAGCCGCTTTCACTAACTCCAGCTGACTCATGTCATCAGGCTGAACAGATAATCATCATTTAGCCACATGCATCAAGCTTACCTTAAAGCTAATATAATGACAATACTTAATATACTGTACAAGGGCATACACAACATGAGGGTTATGAGCAGTTAATGTCTCATGAGGGTGTTTGGAGTGACACCAGGCTATAATATACTGTGTACAGGTGTTATGCTTTAGCTCTACTAATGTGTACAGGTGTTATGCTTTAGCTCTACTAATATTTTAGGCTTAATAGCTATAACATTTTATAAGAATATGGTTCTTGATGGATACAAAACAAAAGATACTTACTATCTCTTTATCAACTAGTTCTAAAGACTTCAGATTCAAGTAACCAACACCTCCTGCAGTTTCCACTATTTCTGTTTCATGTCTGAAAATATGAAAGGGTATTTACGTTAATATCCCAACAGTTTTGTTATGATCTATGGATCTCCTCGAGATTCTACCAGTGAATACTCCACAGTCCATCACTACTTAGGAAGTGTGTAATGCTCTCAACTTAATAATTAATAATTTTAAAGCTAGTCACATAATCCAACTGCACATTGACATCACATGCTTTACAAAGTTTTTGAATCGTTGTTGACAATAATATTTGTTTGTTTCAAGATTTCTAAATGATGATATGGTTGCCTTCAGCATAAACAGTGTCCATGTGGATAATCCATCCCTGCCACTAACCACTGTGCACATTCTAAGCAATGGCAGGCTTTGTCAGGGATGATTTTTGCTTATATTTTACAGTTTACTCATTTGTACTCTACAGCAAAATGGGATTTCATCTACAATTCTTAATTTTTAATGAATAATAAATTTTCTGCAACTTTTAAGAATTCATAACCATTAAAATTTTCTTCATTAATCTTTTCAGTCTAGATGTGCCCTGCACCCAGAGTCCTACAGATGTGCCCCTGTACACCCAGGAACAGTCCTACAGATGTGCCTGCGACACCTGGGGAACAGTCATACAGATGTGTCCCGGGAGACCTGGGGAACAGTCCCAGATGTGCCTGTACACCCGGGAACAGTCCTACAGATGTGCCCTGTACACCCGGGGAACAGTCCTGCCAGAGATGCCCTGTACACCTGGGAACAGTCCCACAGAGATGTGCCCTGTACACCCGGGGAACAGGTCCCACAGATATGCCCTGTACACCCGGGGAACAGTCCTACAGATGTGCCCCTGTACACCCGGGGAACAGTCCCACAGATGTGCTCCTGTACACCCGGGGAACAGTCCCACAGCTGTGCCCTCAAGACACCCGAACAGTCCTGCTGAAGATGTGCCCAGCACACCTGGGGAACAGTCCTACAGATGTGCCTCCCCACACCTGGGAACAGTCCCACAGGATGTGCCCTGCACACCTGGGAACAGTCCTACAGATGTGCCCAGTACACCTGGGAACAGTCCCACAGATGTGCTCTGTACACCTGGGGAACAGTCCTACAGATGCCCTGTACACTGGGGAACAGTCCTACAGATGTGCCCAGCACACTCAAACAGTCCCACAGATGTGCCCAGTACACCTGGGAACAGTCCTAAGACAGATGTGCCCAGTACACCTGGGAACAAAGTCCCACAGATGTGCCCAGCACACCTGGGAACAGTCCTACAGATGTGCCCAGTACACCTGGGGAACAGTCCCACAGATGTGCCCTCAGACACCTGGGAACAAACAGTCCCACAGATGTGCCCCTGCACACCCGGGGAACAACCTACAGATATTCTGTACACCTGGGAACAGTCCCACAGATATGCCCCTGTACACCTGGGGAACAGTCTCAGAGATGTGCCCTGTACACCCAAACAGTCCTACAGATATGCCCTGTACACCTGGGGAACAGTCCTACAGATGTGCCCTGTACACCTGGGGAACAGTCCTACAGATGTGCCCAGTACACCTGGGAACAGTCCCACAGATGTGCCCCTGTACACCTGGGGAACAACAGTCCTACAGATACATGTCTCTGTACACCTGGGAAACAGTCCTACAAAATATGCTCTGTACACCTGGGAACAGTCCTACAGATGTGCCCTGTACACCTGGGGGAACAGTCTCACAGATGCCCAGCACCTGGGGAACAGTCCCACAGATGTGCCCTGGTACACCCGGGAAACAGTCCCACAGATGTGCCCTGTACACCTGGGGAACAGTCCCACAGATGTGCCCCTGTACACCCGGGGAACAGTCCACAGATGTGCCCTGCACACCTGGGGAACAGTCCTCTACAGATGTGCCCCTGTACACCTGGGAACAGTCCCACAGACAAAGTCTCCCAGAGACCCGGGAACAGTCCTACAGATGTGCCCCTCAGACACCTGGGGAACAGTCCCACAACATGCCCCTGTACACCTGGGAACAGTCCCACAGGATGTGCCCCTGTACAATCTGGGGAACAGTCCCACAGATGCCCAGCACACCTGGGAACAGTCCTACAGATGCCCCCTGTGCCACCTGGGAACAGTCCACAGATGTTGCCCTGTACACCTGGGGAACAGTCCCACAGATGTGCCCCACACACCTGGGGAACAGTCCTACAGATGTGTCTCCTGTACACCCGGGGAACAGTCCCACAGGATGTGCCCTGGGCACACTGGGGCAGTCCCACAGATGTGCCCTGGGTACACCCCTGGGGAACAGTCCCACAGATGTGCCCTGCACACCTGGGGAACAGTCCCACAGATGTGCCCTGTACACCTGGGAACAGTCCCACAGAGATGTGCCCTGCACACCTGGGAACAGTCCCACAGATGTGCCCCTGCACACCTGGGAACAGCGTCCTACAGATGCCCTGTACACCCGGGAACAGTCCCACAGATATGCCCTGTACACCTGGGAACAGTCCTACAGATGTGTGCCCTGCACACCTGGGGAACATCCCACAGATGTGCCCTGTACACCCGGGGAACAGTCCCACAGATGCCCTGTACACCTGGGGAACAGTCCTACAGATGTGCCCCGTACACCTGGGAACAAACAGTCCTACAGATGCCCAGTACACCTGGGAACAGTCTCACAGATATGCCCTGTACACCTGGGAACAGTCTCAGATGTGCCCTGCACACCTGGGAAGTCCCACAGATGTGCCCAGTACACCTGGGGAACAGTCCCACAGATGTGCCCTGTACACCTTGGGGAAATTGAAGTCCCAAAGAGATGTGCCCTGGTACACCCGGGAACAGTCCTACAGATGTGCCCAGTACACCCGAACAGTCTCACAGATGTGCCCAGTACACCCGGAACATCCCACAGATGTGCTCAGCACACCGGGGAACAGTCCTACAGATGTGCCCTGTACACCTGGGGAACATCCTACAGATGTGCCCTGTACACCTGGGGAACAGTCCAGATGTGCTCAGCACACCTGGGAACAGTCCTACAGATGTGCCCCTGTACACCTGGGAACTCTACAGATGCCCCCTGTACACCTGGGAACAGTCCTACAGATGTGCCCCTGGCACACCTGGGGAAATATCCCACAGATATGCCCTGTACACTGGGAACAGTCCCACAGATGTGCCCCGACACCTGGGGAACAGTCCCACAGATATGCCCCGCACACCCGGGGAACAGTCCCACAGATGTGCCTGCACAATCGTGGGGAACAGTCTCACAGATGCCCCTGTACACCTGGGGACCAGTCCCACAGATGTGCCCCGCACACCCGGGAACAGTCCTACAGATGTGCCCCTGTACACCTGGGAACAGTCCCACAGAGATGTGCCCTGTACACCTGGGGAACAGTCCCACAGATATGCCCTGTACACCTGGGAACAGTCCCACAGATGCCCTGTACACCTGGGGAACAGTCCTACAAATGTGCCCCGTACAGGCCTGGGAACAGTCCTACAGATGTGCCCTGTACACCTGGGGAACAGTCCTACACAGATGTGCCCCGCACACCTGGGAACAGTCCACAGATGTGTCCCCCACACCTGGGGAACAGCCCCACAGATGCCCCTGCACACCTGGGGAACAGTCTCAGCAGATGTGCCTGCACACCTGGGAACAGTCCCACAGATGTGCCCCTGCACACCCGGGGAACAGTCCTACAGATGTGCCCTGTACACCTGGGGAACAGTCCCACAGATATACCCTGTACACCTGGGGAACAGTCCCACAGATGTGCCCCTGCACACCTGGGGAACAGTCCTACAGATGTGCCCCGCACACCCAAATGTCCTACAGAGATGTGCCCTGCACACCGGGGAACAGTCCTACAGATGTGCCCCTGCACACCTGGGGAACAGTCCCACAGATGTGCCCCCTGCACACCTGGGAACAGTCCCACAGATATGCCCTGTACACCTGGGAACAGTCCTACAGATGCCCCTGCACACCTGGGAACAGTCCCACAGATGTGCCCTGTACACCTGGGGAACAGTCTCAACAGATGTGCCCTGTACACCTGGGAACAGTCCTACAGATGTGCCCCAAAATATCCTGCAGCACAGTCCCACAGATATGCTCAGTACACCTGGGAACAGTCCTACAGATGTGCCCAGTACACCTGGAGAACAGTCCTACAGATGTGCCCCACCCGGGAACAGTCCCCACAGATGTGCCTCCCCTGTACACCCGGGGAACAGTCCCACAGATGTGCCCTGTACACCCGGGAACAGTCCTGTACAGATGTGCCCTGTACACCTGGGAACAGTCCTACAGATGCCCAGTACACCCGGGAACAGTCCCAGATGTGCCCCCGCACACCGGGAACAGTCCCACAGATGTGCCCAGTACACCCCAAACAGTCCTGGCCAGATGTGCCCTGTACACCCGGGAACAGTCCCACAGATGTGCCCAGTACACCTGGGAACAGTCCCAGATATGCCCTGTACACCTGGGGAACAGTCCCACAGATGTGCCCCAGGCCACCTGGGGAACAGTCCCAAGATGTGCCCATGCACACCTGGGGAACAGTCCCACAGATGTGCCCTGTACACCTGGGGAACAGTCCCAGATGTGCCCAGCACACCCGTGGAACAGTCCCACAGATGCCCTGTACACCTGGGAACAGTCCCACAGGATGTGCTCCAGCACACCTGGGAACAGTCCTACAGATGTGCCCAGTACACCTGGGAACAGTCCTACAGATGTGCCCAGGCACACCCGGGAACAGTCCCACAGATGTGCCCTGTACACCCGAACAGTCCCACAGATGTGCCTCTGTACACCTGGGGAACAGTCCTACAGATGTGCCCAGTACACCTGGGAACAGTCCTACAGATGTGCCCAGTGCACACCTGGGGAACAGTCCCACAGATGCCCTGTACACCTGGGAACAGTCCCACAGATAAGTGCCCTGTACACCTGGGAACAGTCCTCCTACAGATGTGCCCAGTACACCTGGGGAACAGCCCCACAGATGTGCCCTGTACACCTGGGGAACAGTCCTACAGATGTGCCCAGTACACCTGGGAACAGTCCCACAGATGTGCCCAGTACACCTGGGAACAGTCCCACAGATGTGCCCAGTACACCTGGGGAACAGTCCTACAGATGTGCCCCTGTACACCTGGGGAACAATTTACAGATGTGCCCAGTACACCTGGGAACAGTCCTACATGTGCCCTGTACACCTGGGAACAGTCCGCCAGATAGCCTCCTGTAACACCTGGGGAACAGTCCTGACAGCCCAGCACACCTGGGGAACAGTCCCACAGATGTGCCCAGCACCTGGGAACAGGTCCCACAGATGTGCCCAGCACACCTGGGAACAGTCCCAGATGTGCCCTGCACACCTGGGGAACAGTCCCACAGATGTGCCCTGCACACCCGGGGAACAGTCCTACAGATATGCCCTGTACACCTGGGAATGGTCCCCACAGATGCCTGCACACCTGGGAACAGTCCTACAGATGTGCCCTGTACACCTGGGAACAGTCTCATGGAGCCCTGTACACCTGGGGAACAGTCCCACAGATGTGCCCTGTACACCCGGGAACAGTCCTACAGATGTGCCCTGTACACCTGGGGAACAGCCCCACAGATGCCCAGTACACCTGGGGAACAGTCCCACAGATGTGCCCAGTACACCTGGGGAACAGTCCCACAGATGTGCCCTGTACACCTGGGAACAGTCCTACAGATGTGCCTCTGTAACACCTGGGAACAGTCCCACAGATGTGCCCTGTACACCCGGGAACAGTCCTACAGATGTGCTCCTGTACACCCGGGAACAGTCCCACAGATGTGCCCTGTAACACCTGGGGAACAGTCCTACAGATGCCCTGTACACCTGGGAACAAGTCCACAGATGTGCCCCACACCTGGGAACAGTCCTATGATGTGTCTCCCCAGACACCTG